TCTCCCTCCGTCCCCTCCATCTCGCTCCATCCCCTCCATCCCTCCCCCTCCATCCCCTTCCATCCCTCTCTGTCCCCTCCATCCCCTCCCCTCCGTCCCCCTCCATCCCTCCCCACCCCCATCCCGGGGGCTGTCCGGGGAGCACAGGGCTGTCTGGGGGGGCTGAGTCCAGGGCATGGGGGACAGAGCCCGGCTGCACAGCTCCTGCGGGGGGAGTCCATGGAACTGACCCTCCAGGAGCTCTGAGGAGCAAGGGTGAAGCTTTTTGACTTGCGTGGTTTGGGTACCAGCCCTTTCACCTTCTGCCCTCGATAGAGCTTGTGGACACTTTAATTGTAAAGAGGGTAGATTTAGATTACTAGGTGGTAGATTTACTCACTGTAAAGAGTTGATGAGAATTCACATGAGCTGTGGGGAAGAACTTGTTTGGTGTGAGGGTGGTGAGAGCCTGGGCCAGGTTGGCCAGAGAAGCTGTGGCTGCCCCATCCCTGGAGGGGTTCAAGAGCAGGTTGGACTATAATTTTATTCCCCACCCTCTGTTTTTTTGTGAGCGTTAATTAGCTCAAGAGACTCTTATCTGAACCTGTGATGCAGAGAGGAGTGAGTTAGAACTTAAGCAGGTAATGGATTAATTTGTCTGCTTTTTAGTGTTATTCTGGGCCAACGAATGTTGCTGCTGCTGTCTGCAGTCAGGTCTTCTTCATGAGGCCAACCCACGTAGGTGGTTCAAGAGCAGGTTGGACTATAATTTTATTCCCCACCCTCTGTTTTTTTGTGAGCGTTAATTAGCTCAAGAGACTCTTATCTGAACCTGTGATGAAGAGAGGAGTGAGTTAGAAATTAAGCAGGTAATGGATTAATTTGTCTGCTTTTTAGTGTTATTCTGGGCCAACGAATGTTGCTGCTGCTGTCTGCAGTCAGGTCTTCTTCATGAGGCCAACCCACGTAGGTGGCAGGTGGTGGAACAGGCTTGTGCCCTGAACACGCGTGTTTCTGTGCCTTCTCTCTTCCTCATGAGCCTTCTGCAGTTCTGCCCCTGAGCTTTACTCCTGGAAGCAGTCGTACCAAAGTCAATATTTGTCTGTAGTCCCTAAATTAAGGCTTCTGCCCATCTGCTGCAGCACTAGATGTGGTTGTGTAAACAGGCTGGGAGACACCTGGGGGGTGATTGCTTCCGATTGTGCTTTCTCACCAGCTCCAGGATGGGAGACTGGGGGAAGTGGGGGCAGAAAAATGCCCTGTAGAGCTGGTGTAGGGAGGAGGGTTAATCCTTCCTTCCTTTTAGTTGTTTCCTGTGCGATTCTCAGTGAAAGGCCTGCCATAAACAAGTTTCCCCCCTTCAATGGCTTCAAGCTGGAGGGGAACAGATTTAGACTGGAGATGAGGAGAGGGTTCTTCACTGTGAGGGTGGTGGAGCACTGGAACAGGTTGCCCAGGGAGGTGGTTGAGGCCCCTTCCCTGGAGATATTCAAGGAGAGGCTCGACGAGGCCCTGGGCAACCTGGTCTAGTTGGGGGTGTCCCTGCTGACTGCGGAGGGGTCGGACTAGATGGCCTTTGGAGGTCCCTTCCGGCCTGGGCAATTCTATGATTCTATGATTCTCACTGGGCAGCTTTTGGAATTAGTTTCGTGGCTGGTTTTATCACCCCGTCTGGTTTGAAGCAGGGCGCTGCGTCGCGCTGGCGTCACTGGAGGGGCAGTGTCCCGTCCCGCTGGGCTGGCAGCACACGGTGGGGAGGGGAACCACTATCAGACACAAACTGTGTCAGCTTTACAAAGTCTAGGCTCATAATGCTGATCCAGGCATTTCGGTGCCTTGCGGAGTGACCTCTGCTGCCTTGGGCCCTCAGGGAATTTCCTGATAAGAGTTGGGCATCAGAATGAGACTCAAACCCAGCCTTTTCTCTTAAAACCAGTGCAGAGTCACCAGTTCCTATTTAAAGGCAGCTGCAGAGGCACATGAGCCAGGCATTCGCTTGTCTCGAGAACACCGGAGGCTGCGTTGGTTCCCTGCCCAGCTCACTGGTTTCAAATCCACATCTCCCCAGTCCCTGCGGGGTCTCCTTGCTTTTAGACCCTTTGCTCTTCTGAAACATCAGGGTCTGAACCGTGAAGCCACCTCTGAACATCTGGTCTCTGGTGGTGACCCTCACCGGAGGGCTGAGCTTCAACCGCCTCCAGGAGGTGTGTGCTTTGCCCCAGGTCTTCTCCTTCCACTTGTGCTCTAGTCACTAAGGCATTGTCTTACCAGGGAGCATTGGCAAATCCTTCTGTCACTGCTGTTCCGTACGGATCCTGCCCCTCCTTTTGCTTTCGGCAAAGTATTCCAGATAAAACCCCTGAGTACGGATCTAACCGGAGGGCTGAGCTTCAACCGCCTCCAGGAGGTGTGTGCTTTGCCCGGGTCTTCTCCTTCCACTTGTGCTCTAGTCACTAAGGCATTGTCTTACCAGGGAGTGTTGGCAAATCCTTCTGTCACTGCTGTTCCGTACGGATCCTGCCCCTCCTTTTGCTTTCAGCAAAGTATTCCAGATTAAACCCCTGAGTACAGATCTGCGTGGAAGCTCTTAGCCTCACTACGGTCATCGTACCAGAATGAAAATATAAAAGCAGTACAGAAAGTGACTCCAGAAGCTGGTGAATTTTGCTGGAAGGAGAGCTTGGGATGTCAGGGTCTTCTGGGTTTGGCTGGGACAACTGGGAATGGCACGGGAGGAGCCGGTGTCCTGGTCTCAGGGACTTGAGAGGTGGGTTTTATGGCAAAGCAGGAATGAGCTCAGCTCTCCCACCTCCCTGTCAGAACTCCTCTTTTGGCCTGTCCTTTATTTATTTCCCCTACCACCCTTCTCTCCTTTTGGAGAAAGTAGTAGTGAGAAATAACTGAAACTTTTAAAACTATTTACTGTAACACAGAATAAATTTTATATCAAACAAGGGGCTGTATAACGTGTGTCTAGCAGATTGCTGCAGGTTCACAAATTTCTCCCTAATCTGAGACGGTGAAATGTGTTTCACCCTAAAGTCACATTCAAATTAATCATCTGGTTGTCCACCCCAAAAAACTCCAGTGCTGCTTGAGTACGTGTCTTGGTTTAAAAGGAAAATGCCATCTCTTAAAATGACACAGGGTGGTGTTGTCTTTGAAATTCTGGTGAAGAAAAGCCCCGAGTGTCTCCAGTGGGCTCTCCTGAGTCATGTGCCTTGGGCTGTAAACTTTGGAGTTATTCATTGCCCGTGGATGAGCAGAGTGGAAAAAGGAAGTTCACTTTGCACCGTGGTTTCCTCAGCTGGGGTGGTTTTATCCTCCCACCGCAAATAGTGGATTATATATTTATATATATGAAGCAATCTCTGCAGCGGAGTCCAGGGTGTTGGGTTTTCTCTATTCCCAATTGCAAACATTATCCTGGACAAACTGACTCCTGGAGGGGTGATACCAGTTTATGTACCAGTTTATGATCTGCATTTGCTGCGAATCTATTTCCTTATGCCAGGATCTGGAGCCTGACTGGGGGATGTTTGGGCTGCAGGGGGATGTTTTTCCCTCTGCCATTCCGAGCGGAGCAACGTCATCGCTTATTAGAGCCAAGATTTTTCCCCTGACTGAACACCTCAGATCTGCTCTCCCAAGACCCTGCAATTAAGAGTTTGCCAAAATCCTGCCCAAATCAAGCGGTGAGCTGGGGAGGTGTGGAAACAGTGACTCCTCTGCATAGGGAAGAGTGTGGCCAGGAGGTGGAAGGAGGTCATTCTCCCCCTCTGCTCTGCACTGGGGAGGCCACAACTGGAATCCTGCGTCCAGTTCTGGGCTCCCCAGTTCAAGAGAGACAGGGAACTGCTGGAGAGAGTCCAGCGTAGGGCAACAGAGATGATGGAGGGATTGGAGCATCTCCCTGATGAGGAAAGGCTGAGAGAGCTGGGGCTCTTGAGCCTGGAGAAGAGAAGGCTGAGGGGAGACCTTGTTAATGCTTACGAGTATCTAAAAGATGGAAGGAGGATGGAGCTGGACTCTTCTCAGTGGTTCCCAGGGACAGGACGAGGGGCAACGGGCACAAGCTGGACCATGGGAAGTTCCACTCAAATCTGAGGAAGAACTTCTTTGGGGTGAGGGTGGCAGAGCCCTGGCAGAGGCTGCCCAGGGAGGGTGTGGAGTCCCCTTCTCTGGAGATCTTCAAGCCCTGCCTGGATGCTCCTGAGTGATGTGCTCTGGGCAGCCCTGCTTTGGCCGGGGGTTGGGATGGATGGGCTCTAGAGGTTCCTTCCAACTCTGACAATTCCGTGACTTCCGTTATCTTGGAGCACTGAACAAAAATAGCATTGAGTTGGATCCTGGAGTCTTAATTTCCTGCCCGTGAAAGGTTCAAACTCCCTTTCCTTTCTCCGGGTCTCGGTGCAGCTGAACCAGTGGAAGGTCAATATGTTTCAAGAACTAATTATTCAGTGTAAAACTTGGTCATTTGTGCTTGTTTTTGCAGAAGAAAATATCTTCACGCTGCTTCGCAGTTCCAAAACGCAGGGAAATGGCAGTTGTTGTCCCAGGCACTTCTGTGAGGTTACTCCTAAAAGCAAAGGTTGCAGGAGAGGGGACTGTTTGGTAGTTCCTGTGGTAGATAACGCAGTCTGTCTCCAAAGTGTGAAACCGGGGCTGAGATTTATTAGATTGTCCCAGGCACTTCTGTGAGGTTACTCCTAAAAGCAAAGGTTGCAGGAGAGGGGACTGTTTGGTAGTTCCTGTGGTAGATAACGCAGTCTGTCTCCAAAGTGTGAAACCGGGGCTGAGATTTATTAGAAAATGAGCAGGTAAATGAGAACAGCTGGGTAAGAGGAGAAGGGATTAGATCCTGGGGGTGGTGAATGGAGTCAAATCCAGTTGGCGACCGGTCACGAGTGGTGTCCCACAGGGCTGGGTACTGGGACCCATTCTCTTCAACATCTTTATCAATGATCTGGACAAGGGGACTGAGTGCACCCTCAGCAAATTTGCAGACGACACCAAGTTGGGTGGGAGTGTGGATCTGCTGGAGGGTAGAGAGGCTTTGCAGAGAGATCTGGACAGGCTGGATGGATGGGCTGAGACCAATGGGATGAGGTTCAACAAGGCCAAGTGCTGGGTCCTGCCCTTAGGTCACACCAGCCCCATGGATGCTCCAGGCTGGGGGCAGAGTGGCTGGAGCTGCCTGGTGGAAAAGGACCTGGGGGTGTTGGTCGACTGTTGGCTGAAGATGAGCCAGCAGTGTGCCCAGGTGGCCAAGAAAGCCAACAGCATCCTGGCCTGCATCAGGAACAGCGTGGGGAGTAGGACCTGAGAGGTGATCGTCCCCCTGTACTGGGCACTGGTGAGACCCCACCTCGAGTACTGTGTCCAGTTTTGGGCCCCCCACCACAAGAAAGACATTGAGGGGCTGGAGCGGGTCCAGAGAAGGGCAACAGAGCTTGTGAGGGGTCCGGAGAGCAAGTCTTATGAGGAGAGGCTGAGGGAACTGGGGGTGTTCAGTCTGGGGAAGAGGAGGCTGAGGGGAGACCTTATTGCTCTCTCCAACTCCCTGAAAGGAGGGTGTAGAGAGGAGGGGGTCGGTCTCTTCTCCCAAGTTACAGATGACAGGACAAGGGGTAATGGCTTCAAGTTGCGCGAGGGTAAGTTTAGACTGGACATTAGGAAACAATTCTTCCCAGAGAGAGTGGTGGGGCATTGGGACAGGCTGCCCAGGGAGGGGGCTGAGTCCCCATCCCTGGCTGTGTTTAAGAACAATTTAGATGTGGTGTTGGGGGATATGGTGTAGGGGAGAACTTTAGAGTAGGGTGGATGGTTGGGCTCGATGATCCCGAGGGTCTCTTCCAGCCTAGATGATTGTGTGATTCTGTGATGCTGCTTTCTCTGGTTGGTCATTAATTTGTTTGAATTAAAGCCACCCAACTTCCCCACCGTTGTTTTCCTGAGAAGGGAGGGCTCAGGAGAGCTGCTCCTTGGCCACGATGGCCCCATCAAGCCAGGGAAGGTGTCCCCTCGGTCCTTCCTTCTGGTCCCTTTGCCAGTGGAAGGACTGATGCCTCCCACCGCTCTGCAGCTGCGAGGCGCGGGCACTGAAGGACACAAATTAAATAATCTCCTTCTGGAGGTGGATCTTACTCATTTGCTCATCTCCCAGTGAAAGAGTCTTTTCTCTCAGCGCACAGCCAGTGTTTGTGTGTCATTTGCTCTTCCCCCAAAATTTACAGGTCTCAGCCGGGAGCAGCTGCGAATGGGTGGGGTGAAGTTTTAATTGTGCTCTGAACCGTCTTCGTATTTCAGTTTCTATTCACACTTTTTTTTAAAAAAAACAAAAAAAAAAAGCAAAGCAAAATGCTTCCATTTCTAAATCATAGGTTATAAAATGCCTGTCAGAGGCTGGGTGATAGTTGTGTTGTGGGAAAGCCCAGAGGCTTCAGCTGCGATGGGGCCCCTGGTGGGAGCCTTTAACCGGGGAGTCCCAGCCCTGAGCAGCTCACGACCTTCCTGTCCACGCTCCGTTGCTTTCTTTAGGCTGGTACAAGCAAAATAATATGTTCTTCTCAGTGCAGACGTAGTTAAGCTTGTGTGTAGCTGCATCTCTACAGGAATAAACTGCCTGAACAGGTCCTGCCTCCCATCAGAGCGCTGTTGTCTCCGCCGAGGACTGTGCCAGAGTAGCTCAATTCAAAAGGAAAATAAAAACCACCCCGACAAAATTGCACCAGAGTCAAGTCTGTGTCCTCCAGACAGTGCACGGGGCTCACAGAGGTGCAGGAAAGGGGGACGAGCTGCTGTGAATCCCGAGTGGGATGCAGTGGGGCTGGTCTGGGGGGGCTGGGCTTCTCGAGGGGTGGTTTTCAGTCTGGACTCCCCTCGTTCCTGATAACTCCTGTCACACCCTCCAGCGCTGGTTTGGAGGGTTGGTTTGAGATATTCTGTGCTTCCCTTCTGGCATTTGCACCGGGGGCACGGGGTGGTTTTATCCTTAATGATAAAGGGGGTGGAATCAGGTCTGCCAAAACCAGCAGCACGACTGACGCCCGGTGAACTTTATGGGTTTGATTCTTCCAGAGTCACGGCCATTTTCAGTGGTAGCAACAGAGAGAACAAATCTGCCTTTCGAGAAGGGTTGTGCACGATTGTTAAAATAACAAGGGAGGTTGGGGTTTGTGCACCAGCTGATTATTTTGATTTTACCAGCAGTTTACTTCCCCACTAACAGCCCTGATCTCTTTGTTCCGGCAGTTGGGAGAGTCCGCAGAGAGCCAGGAGCCAACAAATCATCTCAGCACCTAAATGAGGCATTAATTCTGGTGAGCTCCTTCAAATTTCTCTTCCCATGCGTGCCCTGTGCTGGGTCCCACCCAGACCTTTCGGCCCCGGCGTGTCTGGCTGCAGCTGGAAGGGACACGTGTTCTGGCAGTGGCTCCTGCTGCGTCCCCAGCCTTTGCCAGGTGCCACCACGAGCACGTTTCTTTGCTGCTGAATAATCCAAGCCTTAAAAGTCGTTTTTAGACAGTGGGGTTGTGCTAAAGGAGGTGCTGCTGGGGGAGATTTATATGAACAAGGAAAAATGGTGATCCCTCCTCTAAGGTTCCAATGTGTCTGCTGTGGGTAACTGGAGATGAGTGGGTTGTAGTGGGAGCCCTGGGCTCACAGCCTGTGAAACGCTGAACCACAGGGACCCCTGAACCCAGAAGGTTCTTCGGGTGCAGGTTAAGTGAGAGGTGCTGACCTGCTTTCCTTTTCTTTTTCTTCTCTTTCTCCAGTAGATCTGTTGCTATCTGTCTGAAACTTCGCCAGGGAATACTCCCAATAAAAATGGCAGGTAAGAGCACCTCAGAATACGGCAACGTAGGGAGAAGGGTTTCAGAGGATATTTTCCTGTGCGCTGTGATGGCTGTTACAGCATCAGGTGTGCAACGTAGAATCACAGACTGGATTGGGTTGGAAGGGACCTTAAAGATCATCTTGTTCCAACCCCCTGCCCTGGGCAGGGACCCCTCCCACCACACCAGGTTGCTCCAAGCCCCCTCCAACCTGCCCTTGAACCCCTCCAGGGATGGGGCAGCCACAGCTTCTCTGGCCAACCTGGGCCAGGCTCTCCCCACCCTCACACCAAACAAGTTCTTCCCCACAGCTCAGCTCCATCTCCCCTCTTGCAGGGTCCAACCCTTCCCCCTCCTCCTCGGGCTCCCCTCCCTCATCCAGAGTCCCTCCCCCATCTCACATGTGTCCCTTCCTGAGATCTCAGTGCTCCCTAAAGCTCTTCAGCTCCCCTTGTCTTGCCTTGGTCACATTCACTGTTACACAGTGCCCACTGTAGATTTCTCAGCTGAGGTCACTGCTCTGGCCATAAAGGTCTGACTTATCTGAAAGCTCTGTGAGGATTGAATTTATTCACAAAAAATTACATGAGAATAATTCCTGCCTTACAGAGGCCAAAGAGCTCTCCACAGTGTTCCCTCCTGTACTATTGCAGTGCTAAGGGACATGGTGTAGGGGAGGACTTTGTAGAGTAGGGGAGATGGTTGGACTCGATGATCCCAAGGGTCTCTTCCAACCTAGACGATTCTGTGATTCTATTGATACTAAGACATCTCAGTTTTACAGATTTCCTCCCAGCCTTTTTAAGATAAGAGAAAGCTGCTGCTGAAGGAACTGCTGCTGTTAGTTGGTAATGTGGTTTGCTTTGTGAAAGCAGGAGTTGTGCTCACAGATCTGCTGTGCTGATCCTTGCTGGAGCATGGTCAGACATGAAAGGGAATATTTGCCTTTGATTTCTTTTGTCTGTTCTTGGAAATAGCCCAGAACAGTTAAAAACTACAGGGTCTCTGGGTGGGGAAAAAGCGTTCATCTGGCTGCTTAGAGCTGGGCAGCGAGGGAGCGGAGGTGTAATCCCCATCTTTGTGTACCTAGAAAACAATTGTGGAAGCATTTGGAGCATTTTGTGGGCTTGACAAATGACAGGCTGGTGCCCAGCAGCCCAGTTGGTTTTGGCTCCAGTGTGTGGGGACTGGAGAGGCTGGCAGCAGCTCTGCTGCCTGTGACAGAGCTGGGCTGGAGCAGAGAGAAGAGGGAAGAGAATAGACCCAAAGGAACTACCTGCAGCTTCAGCTGATGAAGAGAGACAGAATGAAATTTTCCTCATCTCTCCAAAAAAAAAACCCCAAGATGGTTACAAAATCTGCTTTTACCGTGGTGGGTTAATCTTGGTCTTACTGACTTGTCTAGAGAGCTGTCTCTTTGGGTTTAAAAGCTGTGCCCCCTTCCCTGCCTGTATGTCGTTATGTCCCTTTGTTGGCTGCTGAGACAGACTGTCCAGCAGGAAAAGCCCATTCATGTTTATAGCAAACAAAAAATTAGTCCTAAGAGGTCCAAACTCCTACGGACTTTGAGAGCAGCCGTGGGCCAGCAGCAGGACACACGCTGGGCTGGAGATGTTAATCAGTAACGAGTACCAGCTTGAGAGGGCATCGCAACTCATGGAAAATGCATTTGGAGGAGACGGGGGGGGGGGGGCAGAAGACTTAAAATTTGTTTTTATAAGGAAAACTCTACTGAAACAACGAGTTGAGCTGGTGACTTAAGGCATTATTCCCTATTTAATTCTGGTGGGCTCACAATTGTTATCCTCACCATATTTTCTGCGTGAAAATATGCCTTTCCTTTGCATGAAGTGCAGCCTTTTCTCTCCTAAAGCACAGCTTACAGCTTCAGCCCCTGCCCTGCCAGCCTTTAAGTGAAGCAAAGGAGCTGCTCCTGCGAAATGTCTTCTCAGGGGGAGATAATGGCAAGAGGAGGGGAACTCTTGGGCTGACAGCTCTTGTTCAGATGTTTCCTCTCATCTTCTGTGCCATTTGGAGGTTTTCCCAGGACATTCTTCATCTCTTCCTCTGGTTGTTTTTAATTCTGTTTACTGGGGCTGAAGTAGACGAGAGACAATTAGTCACAATGCCCTGGAATCAAACTTTAATCAGCACCGGGAGGGAAGAGCAAACATCCCCAAACAGGCAGAGACGCGCGTCCAGGCACACGCGGATCCACAGCCCCGGCCGCGCGTCCGCCTGGCAGCTGACAGCAGCTTAAACACAGAGGATTTAGGCATTTAATGACTTGATTTATAAACATAATTTCTTCCCAGGGTAAGGTTTTCTTCACCCTATCGCTTTTGTCAGCGTTTGCTGATTTATTGTATCTGAATGCAAAGCTCTATTTTATTTTTTTTTTAATTTTGATTTTTTCTGGGGCTTAACCTTACAGGAAAAACTTGTCTTTTAAAGAAAAAAAGAGTATGGTCATGAGTCTTGTCACAACAAAATCATCCCTGGTGTCCTCTTGCCTTCCCTAAGCTGGATGAGATCCAAATACTAAACTCCAGTTTGGGGGGTGCTTTCTGAAGACACCCCTCCTTACTGTCACAGGGACGGACTGCCACCATCCAGTGAGACCTGGCCAGGCTGGAGAGTTGGGCAGAGAAGAACTTGATGAACTTCAACCAGGGCAAGTGTAGGTGCTGCTCCTGGGGAGGAATAACCCCCTGCACCAGCACAGGTTGGGGGTGACCTGCTGGAGAGCAGCTCTGAGGAGAAAGACCTGGGAGTCCTGGTGGACAAGAGGATGCCCATGAGCCAGCAATGGGCCCTTGTGGCCAAGAAGGCCAAGGGCATCCTGGGGGGCATCAGGAAGAGTGTGGGCAGCAGGTGGAGGGAGGTCATCCTGCCCCTCTGCTCTGCCCTGGGGAGGCCCCATCTGGAGCACTGGGACCAGTTCTGGGCTCCCCAGTTCCAGAAGGACAGGGAACTGCTGGAGAGGGGACAGCAGATGATGAGGGGCCTGGAGCAGCTCTGTTACAGGGAAAAGCTGAGGGACTTGTGTCTTTTTAGTCTGGAGAAGAGAAGGCTGAGGGGGGATCTGATCAACGCCTATAAATACTTCAAGGGTGGGTGTCAGGAGGATGGGGCCAGGCTTTTTTCAGTGGTGCCCAGTGACGGGACAAGAGGAAATGGGCACAAACTTGAACATGGGAAGTTCCATCTGAACATGAGGAGGAACTTCTTTACTGTGAGGGTGGCAGAGCCCTGGCAGAGGCTGCCCAGGGAGGTGGTGGAGTCTCCTTCTCTGGAGACATTCAAACCCACCTGGACACGTTCCTGTGGGACCTGCTCTGGGTGGCCCTGCTCTGGCAGGGGGTTGGGGGAGATGATCTCCAGAGGTCCCTTCCAACCCCACATGATTCTGTACCCGCTGCAAGGTGCCAGCAGCCCCGGCTGCACAGAGCTCACTGCTGGAGGTACATCAGCCCAGCTGGACAATCACCAGCCTTTCTTCTGCCTTTGCTTTCTGAGAGCTTGTCACTGGAATCCTCTGTGTGGCCTGGGGTCCCCCAGATGCTGCTGGTCTCTCCTCACTTCCTTGGGAACCTCATCCCAGAGCTTATTTTAAGGTGTTTTTTTTTTGTCTGGCAGTGTCTTTTGCACAGCTTCACGCTGATGGGTAAAGGTATCAAATCCACGTGTTGCTTCTTCCTAGCTCTAAGGTTTGCACGTGTGAGTTTAAAGTGTCCTCTCCTCTGCTGAGGAAGGAGAACGAGATATTAGTGAGGATGAACACGCTGCCCTGAGCAACATGAATGGCCAGAGCCGTTGGCCATCGGTCTCTTTTGCTTCTCATGAGTCCCCTCGACCTTGGGGCACACGGGGGGGCGTGGGGCAGGTCTGAAGGATATGGGACTAGGTCTGAAGGATATGGGACCTGCTCAGCCACCTGAGAACGTTCCTCTCTTCATCTCATGTCTGTGTTCTGTTGTAGAAAAGGTGAATAACTTCCCACCGCTCCCCAAGTTTATCCCTCTGAAACCCTGTTTCTACCAGAATTTTGCCGATGAAATTCCCATCGATTACCAGTCCCTGGTGAAGAGGATCTACCACGTCTGGATCTGTGAGTTGAACATAAAACCTGTGCTGGGCAAATGTGTATGTGTGGTAAAAAGCCAAATCTCAATGACTTACGTGCTTTCAAGTTTTGACTGCAATTAGTTCATGGGAAACAATGATTCCTCTTAGAATCCTGTAATATAACCTTATGCCCAAATTTTAAGCCTCTGTGCCTTGAATCTTCACCCCAGAGCAGCTGGTGAAGAAAGGAGAGTATCGGCGCTAGAAAAGTCTATTAGTAAATTTGAGGAGGAGAAAAGCAGACCACGTTTGATGCCTTTATTAATGCCAGGGATGTTTTACTCCCCAGAACAGCCCCTTAAAGTAATTCCCAATTCACCTAAAATAAGACGAATGGGAGAATTTTAGGCCAGAAAATGAACGTGGCCCATGTGCTCGCTGCCCATCTCCCCGCCTCGCTGTAGGGGGGATAAAATTCCCCCTTGTTTGTGCCACCCACAGATTTCCCTTCCCAATGGAAGCAGCATGTTCTAGCCTCGTGCTGCCCCTTCCCTAGCTCTCTGGAGCCCATGGAATGTTCCCCATCCCACTGGAGAAGGTGCTGACCCTCTCAGTGACAGGCAGTGATTTGCTGATGCTCTGTGTGAACAGACCTGGGGCTCGGGGCTGGTGCTGCCTGGCTCAGCCATTCCAAACATCCACGGTGAATATTGACCCTTCTTCTCCCAGGAATGGCATCCTGGGGGGCATCAGGAAGAGTGTGAGCAGCAGGTGGAGGGAGGTCATCCTGCCCCTCTGCTCTGCCCTGGGGAGGCCCCAGCTGGAGCACTGGGACCAGTTCTGGGCTCCCCAGTTCCAGAAGGACAGGGAACTGCTGGAGAGGGGACAGCAGAGGGCTATGAAGATGATGAGGGGCCTGGAGCATCTCTCTCACGAGGAAAGGCTGAGGGACTTGGGGCTTCTTAGTCTGGAGAAGAGAAGGCTGAGGGGGGATCTGATCAACGCTTCAAGGGTGGGTGTCAGGAGGATGGGGCCAGTCTTTTTTTCAGTGGTGCCCAGGGACAGGACAAGAAGAAACAGGCACAAAAATTGAACACGGGAAGTTCCATCTGAACATGAGGAGGAACTTCTTTACTGTGAGGGTGGCAGAGCCCTGGCAGAGGCTGCCCAGAGAGGTGGTGGAGTCTCCTTCTCCGGAGACATTCAAACCCCACCTGGACACGTTCCTGTGGGACCTGCTCTGGGTGGCCCTGCTCTGGCAGGGGGTTGGGGGAGATGATCTCCAGAGGTCCCTTCCAACCCCATAGCATTCTGTGATTCTCTGAAGACACCGTGGCAGGCCTAGGGAACCCCAGGGAATGCTTTGGAAGATTAAAAACCGTTTTGCCTTCCTTATCTCTTTTTTTTTTCCCCCTGAATGCTTGTCATCCTATTCACCCTTCTCACTGGGGGAGAGCTCCATTTCTGCCAGCTCCGCGTTTGGTGGCAGGGCTTTTCTTCCAGCCGCAGAGGATGTGTGCAGGGGAGAGATTTGTGTGCATAAATAATAGCCTAATCTATGGCTCCATTGTTTCTTTCGTTATGTAGAGATGCTGAAATGAGCTCTGTAATTTTCTTGCCTGAAGAAACTGCTTGTCCCTTCAGACTGAGCGGTGAAACGCTGCGCGCTGTGAAGCTGCCTTTGTCCCTGGCTCCCCCCCCCCAAAACAAAGCATCCCTCAGTCAAGTTCATGGCAAGCTGGAGAGGTGCCAGCCACTCGGGCAACTAGTCAAGGCACGGGCTTGAGGAGCCCTGGCATTTTCACCAGGGTTTTTTTTTTACATTTCCACCCCTAGTAGGTTTTTTTTGGGGGAGGGGAGGGCTCTCCCCAACTTTTTGGCATGGGATGCAGAGAGAGGCACATACGGAGAGAAGGCTGGAAACGAGAAAAGGCTGGTGGTAAAAATAGAAAGGCCAAAGTCGTCACTGGAAGGTTGAAGGCTCGTTTCTTTAATTGGCTGTGAAGGTTTTCTTAAGGTGGGTGGTGGTTTGGGGAAACCTGGAGCAGAGCTCCCACTGCTGGAGAGCAGGCTCCTCCCTGACACACAGGGAGAACCACAAGTTCCTCACAAATTCAAGAGCTTGATTGCTTCTTGGCTTGGTGTTTTCATTTATTTTGTGGTGTTTGGTTTTTTTTTGTAGAGAGTAAATAACTTCTGCAAACAAAAATTTGAAGAACTACAGCAAATTACTGTATGACTGCGATTTAAATAATTAAAATTCTTTCTTCCCACCAATATTAAGATACATCCAGACATTGCTCGTAAAGCCTCGTTGTTTTAGTTACTCAGAAGACATTTTCTTTGTAGTAAACCAGTTTATTTTAACTCTCATGTAATTTGTGTGTCAGAAGCAGCAGCTGGGCTGGGATGGTCCCCATGTGAGATTCTCAGCATTATTTAGATTAGATGTGGTGTTGGGGGATATGGTGTAGGGGAGAACTTTAGAGTAGGGTAGATGGTTGGATTCGATGATCCCGAGGGTCTCTTCCAGCCTAGATGATTCTGTGATTCTATGATTTTATGGTCACACAACTTTTGGGGTGTTGGGCAGCCCCCAGGCTGTGGGTGGGCAGGTGGGGCTGTGCCTGGAGAAGAGGAGGCTGAGGGGAGACCTTATTGCTCTCTACAACTCCCTGAAAGGAGGGTGTAGAGAGATGGGGGTCGGTCTCTTTTCTCAAGTCACAGGCGACAGGACAAGAGGAAATGGCCTCAAGTTGCGCCAGGGGAGGTTCAGGCTGGATATTAGGAAAAGTTTTTTCACCGAAAGGGTTCTCAGGCATTGGAATGGGCTGCCCAGGGAGGGGGTTGAGGCACCATCCCTGGAGGTGTTCAAAAGCTGGGTTGATGTAGTGCTGGGAGGTCTGGTTTAGTGATGATGCTCCTTGTTTGTTGTGCGGGTGTCTATTTTTGTCAGTGAGGTTGACAGTTGGACAAGATGATCTTTAATCCTTCCAACCTAGAAGATTCTGTGATTCTGTGAAAGGGCCTTCAGGCCATCCCTGTGGCCCCGCGCTCTCAGCTTGATTGGAGTTTGTTTATCCCCTCGCTGGAGGCAGCACTTACAAGCCCTGGAGCTGGCTTCCAGCTTCCTCCGAGCCTGGGGAAGCAGCGAGCGAGCCCCCAAGGCGCTGAGCTGGCTCTGTGACAGCTCCCGAGGCCACCTCAGCAAGGGGAGACCAAAGTCACGCTGAGGATGGGTGCAGGGCAGTGTTTGACACCGCTCTCCTCCCGTAACAGGGTTTTGCTACAAATGGGAATTGATCATTGCTTGTAATTCATTATAATCACAGAGTACCAGGGGTTGGAAGGGACCTCTGGAGATCATCTCCTCCAACCCCCTGCCAGAGCAGGGCCACCCAGAGCAGGTCCCACAGGAACGTGTCCAGGTGGGTTTGAATGTCTCCAGAGAAGGAGACTCCACCACCTCTCTGGGCAGCCTCTGCCAGGGCTCTGCCCCCCTCACAGGAAAGAAGTTCCTCCTCCTGTTGAGATGGAATTTCCCATGTTCCAGTTTGTGCCCGTTGTCCCTTATCCTATCCCCGGGCACCACTGAGAAGAGTCTGGCCCCATCCTCCTGGCACCTGCCCTTTAGCTCTTGCTCAGCATCGATGAGATCCCCTCAGTCTGCTCTTCTCTAGCTGAACAACCCCAAGTCCCTCAGCCTTTCCTCAGCAGAGAGATGCTCCAGGCCCCTCATCATCTTCATAGCCCTTGTCTGTCCCCTCTCCAGCAGTTCCCTGTCCTTCTGGAACTGGGGAGCCCAGAACTGGTCCCAGTGCTCCAGATGTGGCCTCACCAGGGCAGAGCAGAGGGGGTAATAATACTGGCCTGAGCCTTGTATTGGTGGCACCGGTCACTATGCAGCTGTCCATCCTTTGGCAGGTCCCAAAAGAGGTTCCTCATCCCTCTGGAGATGGATGTGTCTGTGCTGCCGCCCTGGGGCCACGCAGGAACCCCCGGCTCACTCAGGGGGGCTGCAGTATCAGGCTTGGCTTTGCCACCACAGCTTGGACTCTTCCTGCTCTACTGCTGGAGCTTTTTGCATTTGGCATGAAGATAGGAAACTGCACAACCTGATGTTCTCTCTTCTTTACAGTTTACTGCCTGACGCTGGTGGTGAATATCATCGCCTGCCTGGCGTGGTGGATCGGAGGCGGCTACGGGGTCAATTTTGGCTTGGCCATCCTCTGGCTTGTCCTCTTCAGTCCCTGCAGCTACGTCTGCTGGTTCCGACCTGTGTACAAAGCCTTTCGGTGAGTAGAAGCCCATGGGGTGGTTTTGTTTGTGTTTCCTAAATCATAAAATCATTTGGGTGGGAAGGGACCTTAAGTCCCCCCCAGTGCCACCCCCTGCCCTGGGCAGGGACACCTCCCACCACACCAGGTTGCTCCAAGCCCCCTCCAACCTGCCCTTGAACCCCTCCAGGGATGGGGCAGCCACAGCTTCTCTGGCCAACCTGGGCCAGGCTCTCCCCACCCTCACACCAAACAAGTTCTTCCTTATATCCATTCTAAATCTACTGCTTTTCAGTTTAAAGCCAGGTCTCCTTATCCTGCCAGGAGAAGGCTTGGTAAAAAGTCAAAGCAATTTGTTTCCTGTGGGAGAGAGATGTGTTGTTGTCAGTGAGTGCCCCTATGGAGATGTGTCTGAGATAAAGATTAAGGGCTTGATGGCTAAATGTGTTGTTTACTTTTGAAATGAAGAATGTGGCCACTTTTAAATATTAGATGTAGGACCGAGGGCCACCTGCCTGGGATTGGAGATGAGCAGCAGTGAGCAGTTTACCGCTATGAGGACGAAATTCATATTTTACTTAAATATTTCAGCCTTAGCAGCACCCTCATGTCAGTATAACATTAAGATAGATACTTATCTATCGGATACTTATGTATTCGGTGAAGCTTCACTGAGGCTTGTTTTGATGGAAGACTATTAAGTTATTAGTTTTTGAGAAGTCTTCTGCTTTTTTTGTCTCCAGATACTTGGGAGCTTGGCAGCTTTGCTTTTTAGATAAAAGCAGTTCCCTGGAGCAAGTCCTTCTGAAACTCCACAAATATTTAAAGCCCTCCTACATTTTCACTTTAATTAATAATCATTTGCATTTGCTCACGCTTCCTGTGGATCACGAGGCATTATTCTGACATTAATGCATAATGACTGTCAGAGCCGGGGGGGTCCCGAGCGGTTCCTGTCCTGACACTGGGGGAGGAGGGACCTGCCCGGTGTCACACTGTGGGTCTCCAGCAGAACCCACACACCAGGCAGGGATTTGGACTCTGAAGGTGAAGCTCTTTCTGGTTCCCCGTTACCAGAATGTGCTGGGCTTTTATTATTCACCAGACTCTGCCCTGAGTTGGGTTGGATAATGGCAAATGCTGCTGATAGAAATGGGAGTTGGCTGGTGGGTCCCATCGATTTAACACACGCTGAGTTGGTTGTTTCATAGAATCACAGACTGGTTTGGGTGGGAAGGGACCTCAAAGCCCCCCCAGTGCCACCCCCTGCCCTGGGCAGGGACACCTCCCACCACACCAGGTTGCTCCAAGCCCCCTCCAACCTGCCCTTGAACCCCTCCAGGGATGGGGCAGCCACAGCTTCTCTGCCCAACCTGGGCCAGGCTCTCCCCACCCTCACACCAAACAAGTTCTTCCCCACAGCTCAGCTCCATCTCCCCTCTTGCAGGGTCCAACCCTTCCCCCTCCTCCTAGGGCTCCCCTCCCTCATCCAGAGTCCCTCCCCATCTCTCCTGGAGCCCCCCTTCTTGAGGGACTGGAAGGGGCTCCAAGGTCTCCCTGGAGCCTTCTCTTCTCCAGGCTGAACCCCCCCAACTCTCTCAGCCCCCCCTCCCAGCAGAGGGGCTCCAGCCCTCCCAGCATCTCCGGGGCCTCCTCTGGCCCCGCTCCAACAGCTCCATGTCCTTCTGCTGGTGGTGGCCCCAGAGCTGGAGGCAGCACTGGGGGGTGTCTCCCCAGAGCGGAGCAGAGGGGCAGAATCCCCCCCTGGCCCTGTTGGCCACGGGGCTGGGGATGCAGCCCAGGGGTGGGGGGTTTCTGGGCTGCCAGCACACGTTGAGGGGTGTGTGGAGCTTGTTTAAATGCTTATCTTGAAATGCTCTTCCAAATTTACACTTTGTGTAATAACAACACAGGGCAGTTAATGCTCTGGTGGTGCTTAAAACATCAGTGAGTACATCATGGAGTGTGGAGGAGGATCACTTCTGATGGAAAGGGAAGGCCACTGGGTTGGATTCATCTGAAAGTTTTAAAAGACATGAAAATCCTGGCTCTGAACTCCTGCCCTCTGGGGCTGGGGTTTTGGCCCCGTCCCTAGTGCAGAAGCCCGAGAGCTCCCTTCAAAGAGCAGTTTCCATTCTGAAGTCTGGGAGAAGTTACTCCTCCCCGTTGACCTCCTCTGGGCTTCGCTGGGACCGTTTCTAATTATTTCTTTAATGTTGTTTGTATGTGTTTATGCAACTGGATGCTGAAAGGTCCCTGAGGTTACTCTGTGTAAAGACTTAGGAAGTTAAAAAAAGACTTAAGCCCCGGGGAGAGACTGGGGAGCCCGGAGATCGTGGGCTTTGACATGGGTTGTGGAAAAGGCTTGGAAAACACTGCAGTGGGGCCACCCTGGCCCGTGTGGGGTCACGGTGGTGAGTCAGGAAAGCCAGGTCAGACCCACATGTTCTCCTTCTTCTGGGAAGAGGCAGCCCTTCAGCATCCTGGGCTGCGAGGCTGCTTTCGTCAAACCTTCGTCAGACATCTGCATCCAAAATTAAATGAGCTGCAGAGCTTTGGCGCTGGGGCAGAGCTGTTGCGAATCCGCACCAGAAAGCGGGATCAGAAATCACCTTTTCTGTGTATCCTCACTAATTCCTGCAGATCCTTTCAAACGAAGACTCCTCCAGCCCTTTCAGGTCGTAGTTGCAAGAGTCTGAAGGCTCAGCTTGGAGCCTAATCCTTGTTAATTGGATTATGGTAGGCACCACCGCGAACGGTCTGTGTTCAAGGTATTTCTTTCACGTTGCTGTGCTCTGAGGTGATATTTGAAGGGTGGGATCAGGAGGATATTCAGGGCTGGCAAATTTCTTTCGCAGCATCTCTGTGGCCAGGAAAGATGGAAGGTGATGGAAGGTACCGGCACCAACGCACGCGGCTCAGAGCAGTGGGGGTTTGGCTGGAGGCTTTTCTGCTTGTCCCAGGCTTTTCTACTTGTCCCAGACCACCCAGGGTCTACAGCACTGACCTCTCCAGAGCCTGGGCTCCTGCCTCCCTCATTCAATTAATAACCATTGAACTGCTTTTCTGGGTTTGAGCAGGAGCTGGGAATGATGGGAGCTCTTCTGTAGCCTCCCCCTTGTACCGAGCAGCCTCGTAAGGAACTGAAGTGGTTTTTGTAAATCTGTTCTGTAAATCGCAGGCCTTTTGAGTTCCTGAGAGAATGGGAGTTGTAGCATGGAAAATGATAGTTTGGGGAGGTTTAGATGTGCCTGGGCTTACAGCAAAAGGCAGGCTCCTCAGTGTGGCTGGTTTAAGGGGGTGAAGATGTTCTGCTGCAGAGCCAAAACTCGGGTGACAAAGCGCTGTGCGTCACGGCAGAGACCGGGAGCATCCCTGTCAGCTGCCTCCTTTGGGATCCTACTCGTGCTGCCCGTTAGACCTCCATAAATTGAAGGACCTCGCATAGAAGCATAGAATGGTTTGGGTTGGAAGGGACCTCAAAGATCATCGAGTCCCAACCCCCTGCCCTGGGCAGGGACACCTCCCACTAGAGCAGGTTGCTCAAGGCCCCATCCAGCCTGGCCTTGAACCCCTCCAGGGATGGGGCAGCCACAACTTCCCTGGGCAACCTGTTCCAGTGTCTCACCACCCTCAGAGTAAAAAATTTCTTCCTGAGATCTAATCTGAATCTTTTTTCTTCCAATTTAAAACCGTTTCCCCTTGTCCTATCGTTACCCTTCCTGGCAAAGAGTCCCTCCCCAGCTCTTCTATAGGCACCCTTCAGGTATTGAAAGGCCGCTCTAAGGTCTCCCCGGAGCCTTCTCTTCTCCAGGCTGAACAATCCCAGCTCCCTCAGCCTGTCGCCATAGGAGAGGTGCTCCATCCCTCTGAGCATATTCAGGACAAGGGGAAACGGTTTTAAATTGGAAGAAAAAAGATTCAGATTAGATCTCAGGAAGAAATTCTTTGCTGTGAGGGTGGTGAGACACTGGAACAGGTTGCCCAGGGAAGTTGTGGCTGCCCCATCCCTGGAGGGGTTCAAGGCCAGGCTGGATGGGGCCTTGAGCAACCTGCTCTGGTGGGAGGTGTCCCTGCCCAGGGCAGGGGGTTGGGACTCGATGATCTTTGAGGTCCCTTCCAACCCAAACCATTCTGTGATTCTATGACCCTCTCAACCTACACATCCTGAAGGTGTGGGGCTCACGAAGACAAGCAAGCTCCCTTCTGCCCTTCCCCAGAGAGGGCACCACCCACTTCTCTTGCGGCTGTTTTCCCTCCTGTGACATCCCAGTGCCAGATTATTAACCGTGGGCGTGTAAGTGCGATGACGAGCAGCCACTGAGACATTCCCAGCTGGAATTCTCATGCTCAGTGATCACTTTTATCGTAGGGGCCAGCTCTGCCTGCCGCTGGCCGGGCCCCGTCGGGCCTCCTTGCTGGTGGCCGAGCTGCGCAGGCATCAGGCCGTGCTGTCTCCAGGTGTTGGTGAGAGAAGTGATTCAGACACTCCATTCTGCAGGAGAACAGCCTCTCCTCGTGTGTCATCATCTGTGCAATTACTCGGGCAGAGCAACTGCTTATTGGAAGAGATTAGGTGCTGATGATTCATGGATCCGTGTGCTTTCATTGCCAGGGAAAGAGGAGTCGCCTTCAAAGTACATAGAGGGATCTCACACAATCACAGACTGGTTAGAGTTGGAAGGGACCTTAAAGGTCATCTTGTTCCAACCCCCTGCCCTGGGCAGGGACACCTCCCACCACACCAGGTTGCTCCAAGCCCCCTCCAACCTGCCCTTGAACCCCTCCAGGGATGGGGCAGCCACAGCTTCTCTGGCCAACCTGGGCCAGGCTCTCCCCACCCTCACACCAAACAAGTTCTTCCCCACAGCTCAGCTCCATCTCCCCTCTTGCAGGGTCCAACCCTTCCCCCTCCTCCTAGGGCTCCCCTCCCTCATCCAGAGTCCCTCCCCAGCTTTCCTGGAGCCCCCCTTCTTTAGGGACTGGAAGGGGCTCTGAGGTCTCCCCGGAGCCTTCTCTTCTCCAGGCTGAACCCCCCCAACTCTCTCAGCCCCCCCTCCCAGCAGAGGGGCTCCAGCCCTCCCAGCATCTCCGGGGCCTTCTCAAGCTGGAGGCAATGCTCCAGTACTCTCCTGAGATACCACATTTGAGGGTTTTTACATGATGGGGTCAAACATCAGTGTGAAGCGACGCGAGATGCCGGTCTCCCCCCCCTAACTTCCTCTCTTTCTTCACAGGTCAGACAGCTCCTTTAATTTCATGGCCTTTTTCTTCATCTTCGGCGCCCAGTTCATTCTCACGGTGGTGCAGGCCATCGGTGTCTCCGGATGGGGAGCTTGGTGAGTGGGATGGGGATGCTCCCACAGCCTCAGGGCTGAGCCCTCCGCTCCTGCTGCCCGAGAGGCTGTGGGCTGTTTCCATCAGCTTTTGAGAAACCGGTGGGAGTCTGGTCGGGGTGGAGTGGAAGATGTTTTTTCCTCTCTGGCATAATTATGGAGTACCCAGTTCTGTTCCTGGTTATTGCAGGAGCTCCTGTGCTGGCAGGAGTCGGGTGTCTTCACCTGCCAGTTCTTTTTAGCACCTTCCTACAACGTCCATTTCTTTTCACCATTTAACCAGCCAGTTTCAAGATTCCTCTGATCCTCTCTTAGCGTTGCCCTCAAACTATTTGCAGTGCCTGGTGAGCAGGGTGGGATGACTCACTGTTGGCCTATAGAGCAAGTATTGTGAGAGTTGTCCCAAAATAAATGGGAGCATTTTAGTGTCTGTCCCTGGTTACGTTATAATTGTTTGGCATTTTAACTTTCTGTCTCTAGAGACTTGAGAGCGATTCCTGCTGAAACTACAAGTCATAGAAAGTCCTAACCCTCCACAGAGCATTTTGTTTTCCTAATTGCTCTGCTCTCCAGTTGCCCTACCTGGTTATTACCATGAGAGGAATAGAGAGGCAGTGGAAATCATAGGACTCTCATCTTCCCCAGTCCCAGTTCTGGTCTCTAAACACAGAATCACAGAATGCTATGGGGTTGGAAGGGACCTCTGGAGATCATCTCCCCCAACCCCCTGCCAGAGCAGGGCCACCCAGAGCAGGTCCCACAGGAACGTGTCCAGGTGGGTTTGAATGTCTCCAGAGAAGGAGACTCCACCACCTCCCTGGGCAGCCTCTGCCAGGGCTCTGCCACCCTCACAGTAAAGAAGTTCCTCCTCATGTTCAGATGGAACTTCCTGTGTTCAAGTTTGTGCCTATTTCCTCTTGTCCTGTCCCTGGGCACCACTGAAAAAAGACCAGCCCCATCCTCCTGACACCCACCCTTGAAATATTTGATCAGATCCCCCTCAGTCTTCTCTTCTCCAGACTAAAAAGACCCAAGTCCCTCAGCCTTTCCTCCTAAGAGAGATGCTCCAGGCCCCTCATCATCTCTGTAGCCCTTTTCTGTCCCCTCTCCAGCATTTCCCTGTCCTTCTGGAACTGGGCAGCCCAGAACTGGTCCCAGGGCTCCAGCTGGGGCCTCCCCAGGGCAGAGCAGAGGGGCAGGATGACCTCCCTCCACCTGCTGCTCACACTCTTCCTGATGCCCCCCAGGATGCCCTTGGCCTTCTTGGCCACCAGGGCCCATTGCTGGCTCATGGCCATCCTCTTGTCCACCAGGACCCCCAGGTCTGTCTCCTCAGAGCTGCTCTCCAGCACACGACCTCTGCACAATCAGAAGCACCTTGGGAATAAATCTCTTCCCCAAGCCTGTGGAGCTGGGTGTCCGCTGAAGGACCCAGACTGGATTAGTGAGGGGTGCTGGCAGGCAAGATTTGAGATCTTGGGGAAATACCTGCATGTAATTTTTTCCCATTTTCCTCATTGTTCTTTTCATTTTCAAGAGTTTTAAAGCTGCCTTGTCATTTCTGGGGATGAGTAAAGAGCTTTCTGATTATCAGGACACTCTAAAGGGGTCTGTAACGATGTTGTTTCCTCCTTTCTCTCTCTCCCAGCGGATGGTTGGCAACCATTACCTTCTTCAGCACCAACGTGGCGGCTGCCGTGTTCATGCTGTTTCCCACCATCATGTTCACAGTCTCGGCGGTGGCGATGCTCATCTGCATTTTAAGGGTAGGTGTTTCCAACATCTCTCTGACTTGGAGTGTCCTTGCTTTGTGTCGCCGTGACGTGAACAGGCAGCTGAGCTGCTGCTGTTGTTACCCATCGCTGCCTTCTGAGGTCTTACAGTGTAGTCCGTTGGTGTCTCTCAGAGTAGAGGACAAAATGCCCCTGTGCTCGGCACTGGTGAGGCCACACCTGGAGTGTTGTGTCCAGTTTTGGGCACCTCAATCCAAGAGAGATCTGGAGGTGCTGGAGCGAGCGCAGAGGAGGGCAACGAAGCTGCTGAGGGGGCTGGAAAACAAATCGTATGAGGAGCGGCTGAGGGAGTTGGGACTGTTTAGTGTGAGGAAGAGGAGGCTGAGGGGAGACCTCATCACTCTCTACAACTACTTGAAAGGACACTGTAGAGAGGTTGGTGCTGGTCTCTTCTCACAGGTAATTAGTGACAGAAGGAGAGGGAACAGCTTCAAGCTCCAACAGGGCAGGTTTAGATTGAACATTAGGAAAGAATTTTTCACCGAAAGAGTGGTCGGGCGTTGGAACAGGCTGCCCAGGGAGGGGGTGGAGTCCCCATCCCTGGCTGTGTTTAAGGGCCGTTTAGATGCAGTGCTGAGGGACATGGTGTAGGGGAGGACTTTGTAGAGTAGGGGAGATGGTTGGACTCGATGATCCCAAGGGTCTCTTCCAACCTCAATGATTCTATGATTCTATGAAATCCAGAGAACACGAGACAGCCGGGGCTGGGTGTTGTCACCATTTCATGTTCCTTTATGTCACTGGAAGCCCTTCGTTGCTCATGGGGATGGCCATTGATGGTAAAGGTGCAGCATCTCGAGATGGCCCGTGGTGGGGATCGGGTGGCAGGATGGGAAGTGGCCCTCGGTTCTCCGCAGAAAGAAGGGTTTGGAGGCAGGACTGTCTGGAAAGCTTCAGCAGAGGAAGTGGCAGAGGAGGATAGAAGGCAGAAGTGCTGCTGAAGCAGTGTCAGTGTTAGAGGTTTCAGGCCAGTGGCCGGGGTTGGCTGCCTTCTTGTGGGATCCCCAACTGGAATCCCAGACATGTGGCTGAAATGGGTTGAAATTTTGGGTTGATAAGAAGACATAAGAAGTTCCATCTCAACATGAGGAGGAACTTTCCTGTGAGGGTGGCAGAGCCCTGGCAGAGGCTGCCCAGGGAGGTGGTGGAGTCTCCTTCTCTGGAGGGAGAGGAACTTCACTTTGAGGGTGGCAGAGCCCTGGCAGAGGCTGCCCAGAGAGGTGGTGGAGTCTCCTTCTCTGGAGACATTCAAACCCACCTGGACACGTTCCTGTGGGACCTGCTCTGGGTGGCTCTGCTCTGGCAGGGGGCTGGAGGAGATGATCTCCAGAGGTCCCTTCCAAACCCATGTCATCCTATGTGATATTATCTATTTGCACCTCTGTTCACTGTATTGAGACCACAACTGGAATCCTGCATCCAGTTCTGGGCTCCCCAGTTCAAGAGGGACAGGGAACTGCTGGAAAGAGTCCAGTGTAGGGCAACAAAGATGATTCAAGGATTGGAGCATCTCCCTGATGAGGAGAGACTGAGAGAGCTGGGACTCTTTAGTCTGGAGAAGAGAAGGCTGAGGGGAGACCTTATTAATGCCTACAAGTATCTCAAGGGAGGGTTGAAGGAGGAGGGAGCCAGACTCTTTTCAGTGGTTCCCAGTGAG